GAAACGCGCTATAAATGGAAAATGTCTCATCTCCAACTCTGTAATAAATGTAATAAAATAGAAGATTATCAACATCTTTTTATCGATTGTATGGCAGTAAATGTATTTTGGGAGAAAATTTTATATATATTTCAAGAGTGCGGAATTCAAAGAAATATACGTAGACTAGACATCCTTATTTTCGGTTATAAAATATCTCAAGAAGAATACTTTTACATAAATGTTATACTCACCATTGTAGGTTTTTTAGTATTTATAAAGCTTACTTTTGTAGTAATAATTGGTCAAATGAATTTAACATTTTAAAACTGTTTTAAAACAGAATTTGAAATAATTTATCAATACTTTAAATACAAGAAGACAAGAGTTAATTTTTTGACAAAATACTACAAATTTTAAAAAGATATATACTAACCTCTAGATAGTATGTTTATGTACGTTGTAACTCTAATACATATGAATATCTCAAATTGAATTTGTTAAATTATGTCATTGTATATATGTATAATTATGTATAATATTTGTGAATAATAAAAAAAAAAAAAAAAAAAAAAAAAAAAAAAAAAAAAGAAATGCAGAAAGTGAAGATGAACTTGTACTACTAGACATATGTGGTCAAGATATTCTTATAAACTTTTCAATGGTTAATTGGTTTTTTACCAAAATGAACGGACGAAGACATTGTTCATTATGAACTTTGATTGGCATGCTAGAGATTAGAATATTACTTGTTATTTCTTTATGATCGTGATTATTAATAGCAACGGATATAACATGTATACAATCATTTATAATCCATACCCATGTGTAACGCATGATCAACACCACACTTGTGGAATTGTCCCTTATTATGTAATCGCTATTAGCGAAGACCCCCTCTTAGGTATCTGTTCACACTTAGTAAAAATATGACACTGGTTTTATTACCATGTCATGTTGAGCATTATTGTTTATTATACAATAATTTTGTAATAATTTATTTTAATAAGAAAAATACAGATTTTATGAATATTGTTTTCCTCTCTTTTTGTGTTTTTATGTGCTATTTTAATACTGAGTTTTTTACTTTTACTACTCTTTTTTTTATTAAAATTGTAAAATAAATTTTAAGAATTCAAATGTCATATTGACCGACGATTATAAGTCAAAACTTAACTGGAAAAAGTCAGTAAATTATGGTTAATCTTTCAATATATAATATTGTTTATTCTTAAACCATGTACATTTGTATTTTTCTTTATCATTTTTTAAATTATCAATCAATTAAATAATTAATAAAATCTAATTTGTAACTTTGAATAATTCCTCGGCATCTTTACTAAACACGAATAACAAATTAAATAAAATGTTTCAAAGTTGATAGTGTCATATTAAAACCATAAAAATGTACCTTTTTCACAATTATTGTACATATTTATTGTTTTTATCTCATATAGATAAAATGAAACATGCTATTGTTGTTGTTGTTGTTTTTTTTTCGAATTGTATGTTTATGTATAATTATAATCAACAAATTTGAGAGTTGATCTATGTTTATTAATGATTGTAACCAAACTAAGTGACAAACATTCATTTTGGAAAAAAGCTTAATTATCTGTAAAATATTTGTTCTGTTCTGTAACGATATCAAACATCTACTCCAAAACCGGGAGAGACCGGACAATAAACGTGTGATACTTTTCGCCGGTCACTAGTATCACGGTCAAAATAGACCGGGAGAGACCGGAATTACCGATAGGAGTTCATCCCTCTATAAATAGATTTTCGGAATATTTAGGTCATCAACTCATCATTCTATTTTAACATACCATGATAACCCACTGTGTACTACAAAATGATAAATAAAAAACCGAAGAGACGGAAAAGGTTATTGCATTTGAAAATGTTTGCATTGCGAAATCCTCCAGTTCGCTATTCATTGTACATATCGCGACATTTCATTTTTAATTAATAATAATCAAGCACCCTCATACCGATCGGAATGATCGGCTTTTATTATGACCGACTAAAAGGCTCGAGAAGTTGCTGTCGCCCTTTCACAAAATCTGATTTCATTCCATAAAGGGGCGCCGCGCTTCGGCGCGGACGACATTAAAGATGTACGTATCAGCCAGTGCATACTTAGACAATTAGATGGTAAAGAAAAACAAACTATGTAAGGAACAAGTTTCCAATAAATTATAATAAACATTTGTTAATATGTACAATATTATATCATGGGGGATGAAATAGAAAATAGATGTTACCAGGTCTTTCAAATAGAATGATCTGGAAACGCGCTATGTAAACCCTTCACGCTATAATTAAACATGTCTCGATATAGGTCGGTATAATTTGCTATACGAAAATTATATAAGCGTTCGAGACAAGGGCGAAAATTAATTACAAGAGCAAAAATGAAAACTCTAACGACATGATGTTCCTTTAAAATCTTTAAACTTGTGAAAAAGGATAATCATTTCGGAAAATAATGTTTTTAAAGCCATATCTGTTGAAAAACATAGATTGCTTGTTCAATATATTCTATATGAAAGACCCTGATATAACGTTAAGTAATAAATATTATGAAAACATGTCTGTGTTTTTACCATTAGTGAGTAACAAGAGGGATCTTCAATGCTTTTTTGTTTTATGCTATATGTTCATTGATGGATTATCTATATAAACGCTATATACTTCAATGATTTCCCAGGAAATTAGCTTTCCTTCTTCAATAACTATCGGATATTGCTTATTAAGTTCATCCAACACATTTGATATAAACACTTTAACTTCTTTTATTTACAATGCACCGAACACCATATTTCTAATTGCAGTGCACGTTGATAAGAAAGAAGATAAATAGAACATGCAGAATGTATATGTTACGTTAGAGTTTGCAACTATATAAATCAGATGATATGCATTGGTAAATGTTTACTATTACTTTTTCGCAGAAAGAAATTGTTAGTTGCGGTGTTGCGGAAATAACGATCTAGAAATGATTTACATGTAAATTAAAAATATCTAAATATCTACGTCAAATGCTTTTTTCTCATATTGTGTTACCTTGCACAAAACTGTATTTCAAATGACAAAGTATATTTAAAAGTATATTTAACTCCTTTTTAGCACAGAATAGAACTCATTCTTTTTCTTATATGTATATATCAAGGCATATGATAATAATATTAAAAGCACGGGCATATTTCTAGAATGTTTATGCTGAAGTGTCGTCTTTTAATTAATAAATGACATTAAAGATTGTTCTTAATTGGGATGTTAAAATATTTGTATACAGAAATACTTGCAAACATCTAACAATTGAAAGATTTATCTGAACATGATAAAAATGTTAAAAGTTTAAGTTATAAAAACGTAATTCCTACATATTTGTGATAATTGATTAGGTTCACAAGAAGTTCAGCGGCTGCTTTTAGACTTTGTGTACCGGGAATGTCCAAAACTATGATGTATCAATTTACTCTGTTATAAATCATAGGTGTAAACCCTGCAGTATGTGTCTATCAGTTTGTAATTATGTATCCAAACCAATTTACATAGCTTAGCAGGATGCTTCTACATCAGTAGTAGATTAATTACCATTTAACTACTCAGGTAGTATGATAAAAATGAATCCATACAGGAAGATAGAAATAGCTTAATATGCTTTAACAAGGAAGATAAAGATAACACTAGCAGGGCTTGAATCTGCATATCTTCCGCATTAATGCTTTGTGTAATTTAACACTTTGTCATAAACGTCATTATGTGGAAAACGATAAAAGGTAGGATAGTAAAATACGTATTCAGCATTTCATGTAAGAAGAAACTGTTACAAGCAAATTTGAATTTCAGCAATAGAACATCTTATAAAAGGCGTTTTAAATGAATCTAAATGCCATCATTCCACTAAAATCATTTTAATAAAAATGCTCACAATATAGACCACTGCACTTGATGACAAAGCTTCTGTAACAAATTACAGTTGAAAAACTGATTTCGTCCCATTGCATTGTTCCTTGTTTAACTATTTTAACTGCCATTGCAGTACTAGAAATTCTGGCATTTAAAATATTGTTTGGTATCATATAAAAAAGATATCTCTAGAAAATTATAATATAAGATCAATCACGAATAGCTCTCAAAGTGCAGTCGTCGACAGGGGTAATTTAAAACAGAAATTTCATATAACATAAGGATTAAACTTTAATTATTGTTAATCTTTATTTTAAAATACCTTTGTAATACAATATTCACGCGTTGTTTGTGTAGGACATAAAAAGGTTTTTTTATTTTTATACATGCGAAAATATATACTTTCATAATTTTCGGTAGAAAACAAACCATATGTGTATATGTGTTTATTTGCAAATTAACATAACAGCACAATAAATGCATTTACAAATTAGACGAATCAAGTTAGGTATCAGGTTTGTTAAGAGCGGATAATTCATCGAGTTTTACTCCCGTGCCGTATGTTTCCTTCATTGTTGTTAAAGTAGTCAGCTCTCTGTCCGTGTTTGAAACATTCACGTGTAAATTTCTACATAAACAATTCTTAGCCATTTTTAAAAGAAGTGTACGAAATTTTTTCCCCACGGCTGTGTAGATGAGAAAAATTTAAAGACGAATTTAACACCAAATAATGTGTTTACTTACACATGTCCATTTCATTAAAAAAAACTGTATCTAGAAAATGAAATTGTGCCACTAATCCAGGAGTTTGACAAATAATGAACACCACAACAATTATAACAAGCACTATACTCATATTAAACTCTGTGTTTTCTTTTGTGTTCGTCAAAACATCTTCTTTGACGCATGCGCATCAATTCAAGAATAAGTAAAACATTTAAGATTCCTAGAATAAGAAGGGGTATTACATATATAAGAATTGTATATAGCCATCCACTATAAATTACTGTATAAAAATATGATTGACCAAAATTCTGTTGTTATAATCATAAAACAATTATTTCCACATACAGTATATCCCGTGGCAAAACATCTTGGAATGTTTATAAGCGGTCGACAAAACAGTTTGTAACGCCAATAATGATATATGCGTTACGTTTGTTACATATATTTATAGATTTAAATGGAAAACAGATTGCTATGTAACGTTCAACTGACACTGCTACAGTTGCCCAAACATTTAATGTTTGTAGAGCCATCACAAAGTAGTTTGTAGGAGTGAAAATATGCGGGTAAATGACGTGATTAAACAACCATTCATGTTGATTAAGTTGAGTTATAGAGATCACAGAAACTCCCATTATTGCACCAATTATAATTCCCGTATCTGTAAGGACTAACGTCCGCAAGAAATATACCGTCGTAGATCGCATTTCTCGACGAAATAAAATAATTCCAGTAAGTATGTTCCCTACAAGACCAATGACTCCGATAATAGGTATAATAACTCCCCAGAAAATAAACATTAACTGTAACATGCCGTCCATGGCATTATCTTGAATCTGATCCTCCCCATAAGTCAGATTTACTTTTAAATTTAACTCTTTCACCTTCATCGTTATTTGAAGGAAACTGTCTTCCTCATCAGCTGAAGTTTTATTCTGTTCATGTGACATGTTTATGTTCACTCTCACTTTGCATGATACAGTCCTGTCTATCTATTTTGCGACATAACGTTTAATGCTTGTAAACTGAAAATATAAAAAAAAACATATTTTTATATGCTTTATAAGCTAGTTTTACTTTTTGCTCACATACATGCGATATATAATATTTATGAATAATAAGTCTAATGTCAAAACTGCTGAAGTGGATTTATTTATGTGATACATTTGATGTCTAGAAAGTCGTCTCTTCACTTGAAACATAATGATCGTTACATGCATATAATTGTTACATATAATAAGCTTAATTGATGGAAGTGACAGTGTAAAATCAACAACAATTTTTGGATTTGATCATTAACGTTGTTAGCTTGTCGGTTCTTGTTCAGTGCCCCTCTGAGAAGAGTACAACTCAAGTTGCCTTATGGGACTAGACTGCGTACCGTTTACACCGCTATCATTTTTCACAAAACAAAAAACAACAACAACAACAAAAAAAGAGAAAAATCATGAACTTATAAGTTATGTATTTGATTGCCTTTAAAAACTTTATTATTCATCAAAAGACAGCATTTGTATACATTTACAAATTTGACGGTGCACCAACCAAACTTAAACGTGTCTTATAATTTGTTTCTACGTTTGCTCTGATTTTGTTTGTTTCTTTTTTCGGGGGGGGGGGGGGGGGGCGGCGACTTTCCAGATTGTTGAGGAAGACCTCGTGTGCCCTCAGCTCAGGGCACCTAAGGTCTCACCCCGATAAGGAATAAGACCCAACCCGGTCTAGAAAGTAGTTCTTTTAAATTTTGAAGCGGCCCAATTTAAGTAATATTTAGTTTGATGGGTCATTGTTAAAGTGTTTTTTATTTGCAAACTTTGTTGTTTTGGTGTTATTAATTAAAAAGTTGTTTTTTTTTTCTAAACTCCAAAACCCATTTTAGGCGGGGATTTAAAGAAAATTTTTTCAAAACCAAAAAACCATAATTTTTTTAAAAATTGGTAAATTTACGTTTACAACCCCAAATTTAAATTTCGGGAAAAAAATTAGAACGCCCCCTTTCTTTTTACAAAAAAAGGCCCTATTTGCTTAAAAAGTGTTTATTTTTAAAGTTGGGGGAACTGTTAATTCATTAAGAACATGGGGAAACAGGGAAAAAAAACCTCAAATGGGGTTTTGAAAATTTTTAAAAAATTAAAAGTTAAAAAAGAAATTTAATCGGGCCCCAGAAACCCTTTAAATGAACCAAACCCACTTTTTTTTTAAAAAATAGGTTTGGGGAGCTTCCAAAAGTAAGAAAACCAAAACCCTTGGGCGCGGTATTTCTCACCCCAACCGCGGGCAACTGACTCCTCCTTTTAAATCTATTTTAATCATTATTAAAATCTATTTTCATCATGTGCCATAAAGTTTATACATGTACGAAAGAAGACACAATTGTAACGCATGTAAGACTGCTGAATAAATATTAAAAATCACGAAAAGAAAAGCACATTCACTTTCTTATTGCATGTAAAACCATATTCTACCATTCTTTCTTTGCTTTTGAGGACAGCTTATTTCAAACCTTAATTGAACGATGAATTAATAAATCAATAGAATTAGCAGCGTAAGACAAAATCTCTGTTTGAATTTGAATTAAATAAGTACTTTTGTTGTGTGATTTTTACAGTTGATGAATAATTAGAGAAGGATAAAATATGTGCATCATCAACAACAACAACAACAACAGCAACAACAACAATTCTGTCTCCTACAAAATAAATTATCGTTGTCTTAATAAGCAAAAGGAAACTAATATTCTAAAACCTGTAATTACATGAGTACATTGTAGCCACTGCCACTACTACATAGCAAAAGAGTGTTTTGATTTAATGAGAGACTATAGCATATTTTAAGTTTTTCAGAGCAACTAGATACATGAACCAATGTTTCAAGATACAATTGTATGGAAAGCTATGCAAAAAAATATATTTTAATATTTTTTTTTTGTGAGATGAACATGTGTAACTACATGTATCAATATCTTTATACTGTTGATGACTTCTATACATCTCAAACAATATCGAATGAATGAATTCATGTTATGAATCAATTACCCTTTAGATCATTCTCAAATTGAAACCAACTAACATTACTTTTAGCTTAATATTTAATTCAGCACATCAATCTGTCATAGAAAAGCACAATATACAATCATGTATTTATAACATACCTGTATTACATTATATGAAAGCCATTGATTCTGTTATTTTACAGGATTCAATTTTCTGTTGACTTTGCTTAATAAATTAACAGGCAAACACATTGATGATATCATATCTTATGACTTATGACAGTTAGGGAAAACCGTTTAATATAAAGCCGAGCTGAGTTAATTTATGCATATTTTTTATTGTGATTAAGCATAAAAATAACTTTCCATTATTAAAAACTTGATTCCCAAGTCACTATAACCTAGTGTCTATAGCACATGAACTTTAAAAAAAAACAGTTGATTTTTGTTAGACATATAAACTTAACTCATTATTAATTATAAATTAAAGTCAAAATACCATTCCTCAAAAGTCGCCCGAACATGCATTTTAGTTCTGGATGAACTGGATATATTCAAACTACTGCAAACGCTTCCTAGCACCATTTTGAATAAAGAAACATCCACAGAAATGTCATTTTGCATAAAAAATCATCAAATGTAAATGATTCCTTAAAATCATTCTCTGTATATGATATTAAAATTTTTTGAACAAAACATCTGTTAATTTGTCAATGTCCGATGAACATAGCAGTTCATCTGAACGTTTATTTATATTTTTCTTCATAAAATTGGCTGTTTTTAGATATCCCCTGAACAAGAAAAGCACATTTATATGAAGTAAAAAAATTTCCCCCTTTTCATCCTGAATTAGCATTAAAATTAGATATTATCTTACATTTGAGCACCCCACCTTTAAAAATTTAAACAATTAATTAATTAATTAAAATTTAAAACATTAAAAACCAAATGACAAACCCGAAATTATCGTTAAAATTTTTTATTTTTCCCAAAGATAGGTAAAAAAATTTTAATATAAAATGCAAAAATAAACTTATCATAATTATTCAATTTGTTTTTATATATATTTATTTTTTGTGTCAAATAATTTCTTTATTTTGTTATACTCATTTAAGCACGTATTCAATACTAGCAGTAATTAAATTTATATGGTACAATAGTTTCTTGCCGTGTGTAATTAAGGACTGCCAGCTAGTGCTCAATACATTTCAATTAAAACCACACGTTAGAGACAATCGGGGAATTCGATATTTAAATTTTCTATAACCTCTTTTTTTTTTAACATGAATTTTCTATTTTTTCAATCTATTTGGGATTTTTTTTTTAATACCATCGCTTCGTAAAAATAAAAAGGGTGCCCAAAAATACTCAGAAAACTAAATAATTTTTTAAATAAAGCTTGCGCTTTCCCTTGATTTTCAAAAACTATCATCCAAAATTAAAAAATTACCAATGCAAATCAAATTTTATACAAAAAGGTTTTTCAAAAAAAAAACAAAACACAAAGTTTGTTCAACCCGAGGGAAACAAGACAGTAAAAAACTTAAAATAGAGGAAAATTTTATTTTTGTATAATAGGAATCATTAAACATTTTCAGTCAATAAAACAACATAAGTAAAGCGGATATCTAATACTTCAATATGTGCTTGCATTTCATAGGCTTTTTCAGTTGAAATGCAAAACGTCAACATACTGTTCTATAATCATTTAAAAGTCAAACATACTTTTCGACAATGATAACATATAGGATCTCATGTCTTAAGAGAAAGACATCATAAACGAATATCCGGAAATTGAATAGTTGATATCTAGAAGTCGGCAAAAGGTTGGTTTTTCCAGTACAACCAAACTGTTACCGATATATCATTTAAATATTAAAAGGATTTTTTCCAAAGATTTGAACATGTGATATTTACCTGTAAATAACACAAATATCACACTGCTATAATCCTATAGCAATATTAGTAATATGTTATTTTACACTTATTAATAATTCTGAAATCAATAACAAATAAACATTTAACACAATCGCCTTACAAGTACATAGATATTGTCGAAATAATTGTAATTTGTACTGCAATTATTCAATCTAAACATGCAGTAAAAATATTCGTCTTATTCCTGTCGTCAGTAGATAAAGTTGTTTGATATAAATCACTGACCTTTGCATCTTAGACACTTTTACAATGATTGATTCATGCCACACGCAAATATCTTAAAACACGCTCCATACAGCCATGTTTATTCATCAGAAAAAGGTTTTGACGTGTACTAGCAAATGCAAACCCATTTTTCTTAAATTTCATGAAATGATATAAAATCAAAATTTAATTAACAAAGACATTTTGTTTTAATTACTGCGTAATATATACTGAAATGCATATGAAATGAGGATATATCTATGATGCATATATTCGTCCATTCCATTATCTTAATTTCTAATTCTTTGTTACTAAAGATAAACTAATTTAAACAATATAAATCAAGTTTATCATTTGGTCTTAAATATAAAATATAACATACCTCAAAATATATTCACAAAAAAATTGCATTACTATTATTTAAACAAATATATCCAAGGAACACAAATTGTGTTATTTGTATTCGTCAGTGAAACTAGTTTAAAGTGATGCGGATGTTTCCAAAAGAGAAAGTTGAAAATTGGGAACGTAATATAGCATCCCGCTGTATAAATATAATATCTATGCACTCAACCAACACGACCGTATCACATTTCATATTACTCTACTATCAATACAAATATTTAGTGATTATAACTACAACATTTTAAGACACCTGTAACATAAATTAATGTTGTGTTTTACGGAATTAACAAAATCTAACGATAAATTAAAACTAAATTTACATTTATTTTAAATATTTAGAAATAATGATTACAGAAATTATTTATATTCTAAAGTCGTAAAACTTTGCATTAAGTTTTAAAGAAAATATGA